ACTTAGCTACATCTTTTATTGCACAAATTTTTGTTGAATGTTCCACAAAGGTAAAATGTGTATTCATGGGAAACAGTGTGTGGCATTTAAATTTCAACCAAAACCAGGATAAGCGGAGTTTTGTTTGTAAAACGGATATTTTTTTTGTTGCTTAAACACCTACATCTTTTTCGTTAAGTATTGTATAGATAAATTTATTTACATCTTTTTTAACCCGCCCAAAAATACTAAAAATAATTTAACTTAGAAAATATAATGCGTACTTATCGTTTTATTTTTTAGATAAAAAAATATAGCTATCTAATATAGTAACATTTCCTCTGTTTTATATAAGTGATGTTCAATGTTCTTGCTTGTAGATTAAGAATTTTTTATTTCTTAATTAAAACATCAATTATTATATATTTGAACACAATATAACGAATATAAAAACAATCTACAGAATTCAAACTGTTAAAATAAAATAAAAAATAAACTAATTTTGCATTGTAAAGTAAAAACATAACTTAATTTAGAACAAAACATTTCTCCTAAAACATCACTTAGTAACAAAGGGAGTAAAAATTCAAATAACAAACCTTTTAATATTTGCTCCTTTATTAACTATTTAGGCGACGGTACCAGAGTCGTTACTAGACATATAGAGATCGGAGGCGGTGTCAAAAAAAACCTTAGTTCATTTGCACATGACTGATGTCATAAGAAGCAAAATGTATATATTTGTCTGGGTGTGAAATACTACAATTTGAATTACAAATCTAGAATTCCAAAACCTATTCCAATCTAAATTTGCTAAACGTGCTTTGTTGGAATTAATAAACTAACAAATGATTTGACTTTGTACTTGAAATATATTCTAAAGAGAAAGAAAAACTAAATCCTAATAAAATATGAAACAAAATTATAATGAAAATGATATGCTTTCGTTTGTTTATATAGAGAAAAGTAAACATATGTTATATCCGTTGAAAATGAATTGAGAAGACCCATAAAAAATGAGAAAATTTGATTTAGGCAGTCTCTATATTTTGGTTTTCATATAAATATATTTACCTTTTTAATTTCTAATTAGTATCTATTTTTATATAACATGTGTTAGCTCTTACATCACATCTCTTAAGAGTTAAGAATATGAACTTTTAAATTACTTATAAAATAATGAGTCATAGGCCAGTGTTTCTTTTTCATACACATAGGCAAGGTGTAACGCCTGTGTTCTGCGGTCAGACCGACGCGAAACAAGTGCCGAACATATCGATCAGTTTTGGCGGAGAGAATGGAAATCAGTGAAGTTAACTCAGCTAGAAGTTTAATCTGAGCTGGGCGGATTTTTTGGACCGCGGTCGAATTCGGATAGGACGGTTACCGCGGTGAACTGTCAGGCCGAGCTAAAAATGTTCTAAGGCCTTTTGGCGGGAACAGTTACTGGCCAAAGACGCACTGGTTTTAATGAAGACCGCGAGAACGGTTATTTATGGGCCTTGGACGTGAAGAAGTGCGGGAACGGTTATCTGAGCGATTTTAAAGCAGTTTTCTCGATAGAAAACTTACCCTTTGGCTTTGTTTTACGCGGAGAAACAGATAGAAAAGACTTAGAACGATTTTGAGAGAGTTTTATCGAGAGAAAAGAGAAAAGGCTCGAGCATAGGTTAACTTTGATAGTGTTTGGGCTTATCGGCGATCGTGTATGTGTGGCGATCATCGAGACAAGAGGTGTCAGAAATTGAAACGGATCGAGCAATCATCGAATCCAAGTGACTAAGGTGAGTGCATGACGGTGGACCTAAGTCTAGGATCGTTTTCTTGCATAGATTCATCGAGTCTTGACTGTTAAGATGATTCCCACTGTTTGATTGTCTTGATTATGTTTCTGGCTTGATCGTGCTAATTGATTCCTTTCACTGAGAAACTAGATCAGGCAACATGCTTAGGGGCAGCGATGCTCGCTTAGACTTGTCTGGTTGCGGAAAGACTGCTCTGTGACTTGGGATAATCGGGCCAACAAATGACTGATCTGATGAGCATGATTGACTAATTGAATGGACTGTTTGATTGCGATTATATATTCTGTGGTTAAATGG